ACGCTTTTGCCATTCTACAGAGTACATCCAACAACGAACTTGGCCATACACGCGATGCTTTATGAAGAAATTCATTAGAGATTTCAATTTTTGTTTGAAAACTCTGGCAGTGATGTCATGTCTATCAACTGGTGTTTGGCTATGTAGCAATTCCCTCTTGATTTCGGACCATTGTGGGTTACAGGTGAATGTAACAAATAAGTCTTGGCGGCCATAATGCCTAACATATGGCATAGCATCTTGAGCATATTCGTGCATGTGGCGCGGGCTTCCTATGTAAGTGGCTGGCAAAATTGTCATTCTTCCCAGATTATTCACATTGCCATCAGCATTTATAGCATCGCGGAGATGAATGTATTCCTCTGATCGAAGCTGTCGTTGGTTCAAACGGATGTATGTCAATCGTTCAGTCTCAATTTTGACATACATGTCAACTGCAAACTGATGGAAAAGCCGTCGACACATCAAAATATGATTTACTTCACCTTCACGGATCATGAGTCTGTATGAATAAAAATTCATAGCACTAACTTTTTTGTTGGTTTCAGCACCTGTTACTTGATTAACCATTTTTATATTAAAATGGTATCCATCTTCCCCCTGCCAGAAGATCAAAGCATATTGTAACGCATCATAAGTCCTGTGTGTTTCAGATACACGTTTCAAATAATTATCCCGACGATGAAGCACAATATCGCTAGATTGTAAATTTTCTCCGACAATGACAACAGCCACTTCGTCAATGGTGGGCGAATTAAACCTCCATGTGTGTTCAACGGCAGGTGTTTTGTCAGCTCGAATGACAATATTATGGCTGTCGGATGGCATCCGATCCAATGCTATTTTGAACATGTTTACTAAATTGTTGTTCTGAAGAAGAAACATTTGTAATCCTTGGACAATGGTTCTCTTCACTGTTGGATTATGAGCACATCGCTTATCAACTTCCGCATCTGAATTGCCCATAAAATAAATTTGTAAAAATTGATAATCTGCATCTTGTAGTGGTAACAGCGCCCCCAGTAAGTGATAAATTTTGTCCTTGTATCTGTAATTTTTAAAGATTTGCCAAATAATTATATCTGATACATATTCCAATACAAACTTGAATATACAAAAAACTATTATGGTATAATACCTCGAAGGTGGGCATGAAATTGTCCTGTGCAATATGTGTTGCGCCAAATGATGTCATCTGGAAACAGGTGTTATATTTTTGAATGTTGGCCAAGAAGTGTTTAGAATCATTTCCCATCCCAGAAACTAAAGAGCGTAAGGGGTCTGGTGGTGGGACCAATTGTGGCAATTTTACTTTGCCCCCAGCACAACATAATCCAGTAGATTCACCACTGTATTTTAACGCCTTACAATATTTACAAATCATTGTCATTTCCCCAATTGTTACCGATTTGTCGGCATAATAATCTATTGCCGGATCATAGTGGAATGCAGCTCGTTCCAGGATCACAGGAGCACTGCGTCTGCGGGATCTCTCAATTTCATTATGTCGTGCTCGCTGTTGTTGTGTTTGATGTGCATGAACTCGTCGCATTCTAAGCCTATCTACTTCATTGTCACTCATTAAAGAACGCAATTCAGACATAGCAATACGACTATTTTCTCGATCTGTCGCTCTCTGGTCATCAGTGCGGTTAGCACGTGAGGTAGCTCTTCGCACATTTGATTGACTGCGACGACCTAAGTCAGGTCGTGTTCTCCTCGGCATCGTAAACAAAGTAAGAAAAGTTCTCGCGCACTTAGCGATAAGGTGTCACTATCACAAAAGATCAAAAAAACAGAGCACGTAACTTGAAATATCACTATCACAAAGGATCACCGAAGTAAAGAATGTTCTCGCGCACGTAGCGGTAACCGTCACTCACAAAGATAGAAGGATGCACTATTTGTCATAAGAGGAATCCACCGACATAAAGGATCGATCTATTTGTTGGTTGTCAAATGTCAAATATTGTGGTCGCGTTCATAAATTTAATTTGCGACAAAATTTAAAATTTTTCAATCTACATAAAATTAATCTGACAGATAGTAAACAACTGAAGTTAAAATCAATGATAATCGACCATTCCTATTTCTAAGGAAAAACAAAGTTGTTGTTTTTATTAGATTCCTAGCATTTTTATCATATTTACTCACCTCCTAAACCTTCCCTGGACTTCCACAAATAATTCAAGACTAAAATTAGCCAAATCGGTCCAGCCGTTCTCGAGTTTTAGCGAGACTAACGAACAGCAATTCATTTTTATATATATAGATAATATATGTAGCTGAAAACACACAAACATACATATGTACACTAAGTAAACAAACTGGAGATTTATAGTAAATTAACTAAAAATAAACTCAACAAACGTTGTGCTTAATAAATTTACTCACTTTTTCGTTGTATACTAGCATTAATAATAAAATTTGCAATAACTCAAAAATGCCATATTTTGTTTCTTTATTTACAATCATGTGTTTGTGATCAGCTGATTTTCTTACTTGCAAGTTTTCGCTGGTACAATTTTTTTCAGCAGAAATTTCCAGCTCTCTATCACATCTTGCTCTCTCAATTTTCCCAACTTTGCAAGTTTTTAGGGTACAAGAATGCAAAACCAGTAAAAGTTTTCTAAAACGTTTGATAGTTTTGGATACGAGTACACTCCTTTCTAGGCAACAGTTATTAACTGAATTAGGCGAACAAATCGAGCGGTTTCAACAGCTTGCGAAGGTTGCTTGGATATAAATTTCCTGACACAGTATTAGCTGAAATTTGTTGGTGGAGAAGTACGAAGAGTGAATTTATAAAATTGATGACAACATTTTTGTTGTTTTTATCTTTAATTTTATAATAAAAAAAAGCCCGGTAATCGCGACAACCTCGGTTATCGCAACAGCCACTGATTCTTATCTGTCGCTATTACCGAGGGTATACTACACGGAGAGAAATGCTTGGGATAACGTGTCAATTTCACTATTGTTACTAAGATATTTCATGCGATATCCATTTGTGATAGCCACGGTAACAAATCATATTTCTACTCCATAAAAATTCAGATGATCCCTGAACAATATTGTTTTGTTCTAGCTTTATTGATATGGGAGACCGATTTATGGATGTCGTATCAATATTAAATGTTTTACTATACCAATATCATATTAACGAGCAATTTCAGTTAGTTACCTCCTTCTCGCTTTTTTGCTTATGCTAGACTATAAATCGAAATTTGTTCGTTTTTGTACTATTGCTATCTGCCTCTTGCAACAGCGAACCATATTCAGTGGCAGTGCTTCAAGCAGCAGCAATACCTATTGAACCTACGCGATAGAGATTGTCGATATTACTGACCATCGTTTTTTACCGATAGTATTGATGAACCATATCGATATATGGATATCGAATTTATTTATTTTACATATGTACATAAAAACATACAAACAGTATGTCGGATTATATAATAAGAAAGGGGGTTTGAAGTTGTTCATAAAATAACATTTCAATAAAATTATTCAATCCTTGAATAAAGAAATTCATTTTTTCAATAAAATACATATAAGTAATAGGCATATCTAACTCGAACTTTAAAAATGTAGATGGTTTCTTAAACGCCGGTCTACATAGAACTTTCGCACTGGCTTTGGCGTTGGCGCTCGTTTGACAGGACGCACGTTAAAAGTATGCTTGCTACAATGAAAGCTTGGCAGCGAAAGCTTTGGCCACTAAATTAACATACTAACGACAAATAAATTAATATTTCATATCAATAATTGAATGAAAAATTATATTTCTTGCCTGTATTTGATTAACAAAGAAAAATATTTCACAAAGTTTTATTAATATGCATCAGCTGACGAAGTACGCATGCGAAAATATGAGAGTTGGCCACCTTTCAGCTTTGTGTTGCGTTGGACGGCTGCATTTTAATTCATTTTTTCATAGTCAGCTGTTGATGCGACGCCAACGGGCGCGTTCATAAGACGTAGCTGTTGCCTAACCGTTTGCTATTTATCTTAGAAACGCACAGTTGAGTAGTTCCGTTCAGCTCAACAGTTGGGAGCTTTCCGCCATTTTTTCCAGCGGAAAATTTTTACGCTACCTGAACTCAACGCGTTGGGCTTAGCCTAAACAGCTGATCGAAAAGACTTACGCCGTTTATATCAAATTTGACGCCGCTTTGTTAGGTGGCAGTTGCAAACAAATTTATTTTATTTTATATTACTGATGTGATAAAGTAACTTAAATATTTTATAATAATACTACGTTTCTAAATATATGGTTTTTAAGATGGTTGCTATATAATTATACACTGTTTAATTCATTATAACATTGAACGATTCTTTCAAAACGGCGGCAGTTCAGCGTTGAATTCTAAATACTATCGGCGCAACTATCTCTATTTATTGCAATTTCATTTGTTTACATTTTTCAGCTGTTCATTTGGCAGCATATTCATCAAGCCGTTTCTAAGACGTAATTGTTGGGTCCAACAGTTGCCAGCAGTTTCGTAGCAGTTGAGCTAAACAGCTACGTCTTATGAACGCGCCCAACGCGAACGCAACGCCAAAGTTGTATGTGGACAGGCTTAAACTTTTGTAGCCCTTTCAAAACTTCAAGAACCAACCAAAAAATTGCCATGCTGGAAAACGTCAAATGAGTTATAATTTCACCAATATTTCCTTGGAATTTATGTGTGGATTTTCAAAAAAATCAAATATTGTCGCACTTTGTTGATCATTAAGTTATACCACAGAATAACTTATACTCATGTAGAAGCTTAAGACTGAATTAGTAGTGCCATACCATAGCCATAACCACAACCATAGCAATTAAATGTTTCGATAAAACGTACGCGCAGACCTGTAAACAAGTATTGGTGCCATAATATAACACCAGAGCCATAACCATAATCGTAGGTATCTATTTAATTTTGGTTTTTCGCCATAACCATAAGCAACTCTGAAGTATTTTACTACGTTATGGCTTAGGCGTTATGGTTATGGCACCTCTAATTTGGTCCTTTCTATGCCGAAAGAAATCGATTATATTAAAAAATATTGTTTGTGCAACGCTTAGCAACTAGGCAGCGCATGTCGCTTGATGGGTTCCAGCGCGGGAGCTCGCTAACAAATTTGTTCTATTATGAGATGCGTTTTCTGTAGGTTATTTATTCTGTGGCTCTACCTCTTCGATACTATCGATAGTCTGAAAACGTTGATAGCTTTTTTAAAGGAAGAACAAACCATCGATATATCGATAGTATCATCGATATTTTCCACCTCTACCACGCAAAGTAAAATTCAATCTGTTTTTGTGTTTGCTATTTAAATCACCGAATATTATTCAATTATGGACAAAATACTTGTGAAAAAGTTTAAAGAATGCGGGCTGTTAGAGTACGTGGACATTTTCGAAGGTGAGTATGAATTTGAATGTACGATTTCTGCAAGAGGTTTTCTTTAAGACTTTCAGTGGCGCACATAACCTTGAAAAGTTACATTGCGTATCTGAAAACTAAAAGAGTAGACCATTGTTTAATTGCTAAAAATATTTATAATCGTCTTCATTGCAGATGAGGAAATTTTTACCGAGATTGACTTCAAATTACTTTCAAATGAAAAAATTGAACAATTGTTTCCCTTGGTAAGTCAACGGAACAAATTCCGGGCCAGTTTTCGTGAATTCCTACATGAAATTTTAACGAAGGTAGTAAGGTTTCCATTAAGTTTTTTTTAAACTTATGTATGTGTAATATTTTTGTTTTTAAAAATCCAGGACATTAATCAAGGACGAGCAGAGAATGATGTAAGTGATTTTTATTCTTCATCCAGCGATTCAGAAAACTCGAAGAAAGCTTTGATAACAGGCACTGAAAGGGCTGGTGCGGTTATCAGAAACGAGTCGATTGATTTCAATGAATCCGATGCAGAAGCGGAACCACCAAAGAAAGCTCGAACTGAGAGTGGAAAAAAAGTATAAATATGAATTTGGCAATAACTTTCATCAAGCAAAGTAATACATTTAATCTAAATTTCAGTACCTGCTGGACCTTCTTAAACAAACTTGTGACGGAAAAATTATTATAAGTCGGTATAAAAAGAACAAAATATTGAACGACAAAACTAGGAATTCTTTTTCAAACATCATTGTTCACAACGAATTCGCCGCAAACCCCAATACAGTGTAAGTATCCTCGATTAGAAAGTCATAAATTGAGGAAAATGTACCAGCTGTCTTGTGGTACTGCCACTAAATTTAAATAAAATAGTTCACCCGAATTCATTAAAATATAAGGGACTTTAAAAGCTTAATAAATAAAAAAAAATTTGTGAGAATGTCACTTTATAAAGCTTTAAAAAACGACTTTATTTTATATGAATAAGGCAATGGCCTTATTAGCTTTTCCAATATTTTAAAAAAAGTTATAGTTTTAGCTAAGTCATATACAGTATTTTCACATAGCACTTTTTTAGTTTGCCAAAGCTCCAGAAGTCTAAAAATATCCAAAGTCTTCAATTTCTATTATAATGGCAAAGCTAATGCAATATACACGGTGTAAACGCAGTGTTAAAAGGAAATATAATTTTGTTTAAATATAGTGGCAGCGCTACAAGTCAGCTGGTAAACTTTTCTTACGCATCTCGAATTTTCGCATTATTAAAACATTGAAGTGATATGTGATATTTAGCAATATTTATTGCACATATCAGCACTAAAATAGTATAATATGTGAAAAGGTACTGAACCACAAACATCTAGTGGAGTAGTGAAGTTTTAGTTTTAACACGCGCATGTACATATATTTTCCATTTGCAGCATTTGTACTGCAAGGTTCATACAGCTGTCGCAGTCAATTAGTGAATTATTCCCGAATGAAGACAAGGTTGGTTTTCTATATTTGTTAATAATCTTAATCAAATGTTTGTTTTAATAAAACGTTTTTTAAATACCCCGAAGGAAACTTATTATATTCCTGCTCAAAGAGTAGGACTAGCACGAGATACAATATTAGCTAAAGGAAAGTTGTGGAACCAGTTTACGACGTTCAGTCGTGACCTCCGTGAGTGTTCCCTCCGCAAAATAAGGCCGACAGAGATTGAAGGAGCTACAATTGGAAGAATTCATCCGCGACTACCAGAAACACATTCAGGTTTTAAGAATTTTCACTTATAAAATTATAGTGCAGTGAAAAGTTTTAACCGCACTTCAGATATACGGATTTGGTACGAGTATAAATGTAAAGCTCCAGTACCATGGTACATACAAATGTGCATAAGAAATGCACATAATTTTGTATTTTAAATTAACAAATTATTCAAATGGTTTATGATTTTTACACCGCTTTTAAAGGTTCGGAAAATATTGCTTCACTTATTGAGTTTTTACGAACTCACCTGGAACCCTGGGCAGTTGTTACGGAGAATTGGAGAATAACCTGTTCAACGAGATTAAATCAACTTTGCAATGACACTAAGTACGAACAAATCGCCGACTATATATTAGAATACCCTGTACTCAAACAGCCACTTGGTTATAAATTGGTAATTGTCTTTTTATCAATAAGTTTCGTGTACTCGCATTAGTTATGGGCACAACGTTATGCAGTGTGAATGCAAAAACCACATATTGAAAAGTTTTTACTTTTTTTTTGTTATTTATAACTATATATAATTGTTTTTGTAAAAAATATAGTTCATTCTGAGTATAACGAAAACCACTTACATAAATCTATGTTTCAAATTTAGTGCAAAATTAAAAAAAAAAATCAACGAAATACTTTTGTACGAAAGCGCAACACAGAATGAACTATGTTTTAAAATTAAATCAAATAAAAATAAACTACATAATTAAAATTAAATACAAATAATTTCTCTAAACTTGACAATATGTGGGTGTGGTATAGTTATGATACGCAATATAATAATTCATTTATTAATTTTAGTTTGAATCTGATTTTGACACATTATATCCTGATGCTGCTAAGCGAATGATGACACACTGGACTGCTTTCAAGGAGAAAGTTCAGTTTGAAGTAAGGGACAATGAACACAAAACCATAGGTAAAACTTTCAAGGAGCGAAAATGCAGTAAAATATACATACATATGAATTTATTTAATTTATTTATCGCAGAATCAGATGCAGAAGTACTCAATGCATTTGCTGGTCTACTCCCGTCCGTGCCACTTAAAGTTCCAAAAGGTAAAGCATGGAAAGCAAGCAAACAGGATATGAAAGAGGGATTTTTGCTTCACATTAAAGTGAGTACAACATATGCGTATTAAATTATCAGCAAATTACTGTGTTTTGTATATTATTATGTATATTTCAGAGAATCCAAGACTTTGAGAAGACATTAAAATTTGTTGAAGAAAAATACTTTTCTAAAGGGATTACAGTGCAAGGATTCCCTATGGTCGTTGGGGCAGACTTGAAAACCATAGAAAGCAGCTATTTTGTGCTCGATAGAACACCGTTTTTGTTGGAAAGTCCAACCCGGGCTGTGGAAGTAGCTTTTAAGGCCTTTCATGCCTTGTATAGCCCTTACTCGACTGTAAGCTGCAGATCTTGGCTAATTTTACAAGAATCCCTCTTCGGCATCGTTGGGTATTCAGACAAGTATGCAGCATTGATGAAACAACCGGAAGTTATAAGACTTATGAGAACACTTCGTGTTTAATTTACTACAATTAATTTACTACGTATGAAGTTGATCTCAGATTTTTAAGTTTTTTATTTTTCATCGGTAAAATAATTGTAATGCGAAATGTAATGTACAAAATTGATATCGGTTTTCTAATTTTCATCGGTAACAAAAACTT